ATCAAATAGATATAATCATTCTAATCGTAATGCAAAAACGCATAACCCATTACCTTTAGAGAAATTGTTATTAAATCAGCAGGTATCGGATTATTACAAATATAAATCCATCGAACTATTCAACTGCTATTAGTGCATTAACTTCTACACAAATTTCAAGTCTTCCAATGAACATGTTGCAGACTTGTAATTGATTTTTTTTTCATAGTATCCATTTAATATAGGCTCTTATAAACGTAACGGGTGCAAAACCTTTAAAAAATCTAAAGCAAACACCGATAAGTGTAACTACCGGGAATATTTCTCTTTGCAGACACAAAAATATGAAATCATTGAATTGTACGTAAACTGGACACAAATCAATGACATTAATTAAGTGGGAAACCGGAGATAAAAATACGTTTTTCGTATCTGTATGTAATTGTAAATGTATAGTTAATTGCTAAAAAGATTAAAAGACAATCCATAATATTCTGATTATCTTGACATTTTCGTTCCATCTGTCCGAAAATATCTACATAATTATTCTATCACCATATGTGATTATACTTAAGAATCAACCTTGAATTAGCAATAAGTACAAATTATTGTCTCAACAGATAATTTTTCCTCTTGCGGAACTTGAAACGCTCTTTTAACTGCAAAATAATCAGTATAGTTAGTTGTTTAACATTTTAGAAGAACAGCCTAGACTATTGTGTGAGAAATAATTTGATAGTAGCAGTGAATAATTTTTCTCGTAATATCCTAAGATATAATATAATTTTTGTTCATAATTTTTACTACGAGATTTATACATCGCTGGATAGTCCAAAGTGTCAGCTTCGAATGCACTATAGTTTTTTGTCTTCAGGATGAAATTTGGAGGTTTTTCTAAAAGCAGTATGAATAAAAAAATGGATTTTTTTTCTATTTTTCGATAATTCAAAGTGTTTTTGATGTGCAAGAATATGCCGAAGAATATGCCGCACATGTCTTTGCACATGCTTATTGAATTTAGCGTAGTCGACAACCTTTAGTGAATTACTCTTACCTATCGTCAATGGGTTATTTTTATCGAAAATAAGTTCTAAACGTGTTTTGCTTTTTTCCCGAAATCGACTTTTTTAAAAAGTAGATGTCGGCGCTTCCTATATTTCTCTGCCATTTTAAGTGCTTGTCTTTCCATTGATACTCCAAATTCTCGGCTACATTTTAAGACCGGTGCTTAAAATAGTAGAGAAATCTGGGAAGCGTCGACATGTACTTTTTGACCGTTGTTTTATGAATCACTCCGAGAAAACGCGAGATATAAAGCTTAAAATCTTACTATAAACTAATTTTGATATGAGTAACATTTACTGAGAACTTCGTCGAGATCTGATTTCTGAGCGAGAGTGTAGTCTTAAAGTAGATTCAAAAAGTAACATTCACTTCTATGAGGCTCTTACTCTATCCTGGAGTATTTGCCGAAGTACTTAGAAAAAATATTTTGCTTGTGTAATGAAGTCGGTATTTGTCGTTTTTCCAGTGGTAATTTTACTTGCTTGCAGTGCATAAATTCAGTTGGAAGTACTTGATTTTTTACCTGACACGTACTCTCACAAAGTACTTCATTACAATAAAAGCAAGTATTGCAATCTTAAAGAAGTATTTGTAAAAGTACATGGGAAGTTAATAATCGCCATTTTTTCCAAGTACTTATCGAGTAATCATGTACTTGGATCACTGGGGTAGTGTGTATATATGAAAGTATTAAAACTAATTGCATTTATTTTTGTAGAACATTGAAAATGAGTGACAATGCGTTATCTTCTCGAGTAAACAAATGGATTTATAATGAAATTTGGGGTTGCAGTTATGTTCCATCACGTGAAAACTGTCTTGCTTATGGAAAAGCTTTAATCAATATTGCTTCGGCTGATGGATATTTAGGAAATGATGAATTAAATTGGGTACTCGGCTATATGGCTGCCATAGGTAAGATGTGAAAATAATAGGAGTTGGCTATTTTAATAAGGATGTATTGTCAGAGAAAAAGACATGTCTGTCTCTATTCTATAAGATAAATTATACTGATCAGGTATTATAAACATTTACTATGTTAGAGTTTTTGGTAGCAGATCTTTTAAAAGTAGCACGATTCGTCTTGAATATAGGGAAGGTTCTTCTTGTCAGAAAAGTATCCTACATGAGCATCCAAGCGGACATTTAGCGAAAAATCAAAAATATACTTTTTCAAAATTCAAATAGTGTCAAATATACTCTGATATGTGGGCTATCTAATCGCACTAAAATTTTTGTTCCAAGTGGTGAATTGTCCGACAAACTTAATAAGTAAAAAAATAGGCGAAGTGAGAGCGATCTTCGAAAAAATTAATTTTTCAATAAATTACGTGAATTTAAATTGGTAAAAAGTATATATTCGAAATTCACACACTTAAAGCTATCTACCCATCAAAAAAATTTCGATTTAGAGTAGGTCTCTCAGTGAAACATGGTGTTTTCTCCAGCAAATTTGTTTTTTTCGAGAGTTGCTTTTAGTGCAATGAGAATAGCACAAGTTAGAAAACGTCCAATCTGATCTAAAATTACACCAAAATGTTCCTCAACATGTGTCCTATCTATAATGCCCACCTTTACCTAAATTGAATTGTCGGTTTTTTAGACAAAAATGCCATTATTTCACCACAGGAAGAGCGCATAAAACTGCATCGAATGATGTATAATTTGTAAATTTTTCTATGAAATAATTTTTTCACGTAAATCTAGGGCTAGGGTCCTCCTTAGGCCTTTTTCATTGAAAAAAAACTTTTTCGAATTTGACTTTTTTAAAATTCTCTCAAGATTTGAGGCATAGCAAATCAATACTGAGCAAAAATAATGGCATTCTAAGCTAAAGAACCACATGTCCACCTGCTCTATGGAAAAATACATTCTGCCCTACGAGTCGATTTCAGCCAAAAAAAAACTTGTAGAATTGGTACACTGTCATGTGAATATGGTATGCTAAACTTTTGGCTGAAAGATATTAATACGGTCAGATAGATGTTGCAAATGAAAAATAAAACTGTTTGTACATGTTTTACAAGACAGGAATAATTGTAGAGCTAAGATTCGCATGAATCTAGACAGTTAAATCGAAAAATCATTCCACATATTTTTCTTGGTTCATTTTCGTTCCTTTCTATGAAATGCTAAAAAGGACGTCGTGCTTGAGAAAAGCATAAAAAAAGAAGTAAAAATCTCGGCACTCGACTTGTAAAGAAATTTTCAGAAAACCGTTCAGAGCCGCAACATCATTTTTTTCAGCAAGAGAACATTTCAGATTGTTCAGTTGTGTAGAAAACTCGATTTCTGAAAGTCTGCTCTATGAGAAAAGCCTAAATACATTATTCTTTTTTTTAGGCGCTCCAGTAGATGTCATAGAAAGTATAAAAGGTTATAAATCAAATTCTGAACAATTTGATACTATATTCCAAAATGTCACTGCTACAACAAGTGCAAAAACGGGCTTAATCTATGATGGATTTAAAGCAGCATCGGCCGATAATGAATTACATGAAAAAGAAAAAGCAGCCATTTATAAATTAGGAGAAAAATTTGGATTACAATCACAAGTTATTGAAAAAATTGAACAAATCTTTCAAGAAGAACAAAAATTGAAACAAAAAAGAATTGCATTACTTTTTCCAGATGGTTATCCAGATTTCACAAAATAATTAATTAAATTATAGAAGTCTATTTTTTCGAACATCATCATTATAATATCCTAGTGACTAATTTTTTCCATTATACTATCCTGTTCTAACATTTATATTTAATTGATCAATAAAAATTAAGAAAAATCTCGTGACATATCTTTGATCGTCTTCTGACCTATGCTTTTTCATCACATATACTGATCTAATCGATATCTAAAGGTTTTTATCTAGCATAAATATAACCATAACAAAGAATAATCAAATATGGGACTAATAGGATATAGCTAAATAATGTCTGAGATCAATTTATCTTTATGTGTCGAATTAAGACGCATCCTGGTTTTTAACTTTCTTTCTTATATAGACATTAATTAGAAAAACCGTCGAATCCACTATTAAATTACATTTTCTAAATCCGACTGGCTACTTCTTAATTGAGACCATTATTTTTTTTCACTCATTCTCACTCGGCTTCCCGCCCTCTGATGTTTGTTTGATGTTAATTAAGACTGCTAAACTGAGACGATATTTTATCAAAAAAGTGATCTCAATTTGGAAGACTCGAGCTGATTCATTGATGTGCTTAACTTACTTTTCGTTGAAAAGCTAGTCTGTAGTAGTATTTAGTATAAATAATAATCTGTTTTATGTATTTGCTGATCCCGTTAACTACTCATTCTTCTACCGATTAGAGCGTCCTACAGCTTGGGCGTGCTTTCAATGTATAGACCACTCAAATATTTAGATAAAAAAGTATTTATAATTTTTCTATACTTGGAGTATGATAGTTATCGTTCAAGGCACTTTTTCTGCGCCAAAATTCCCGTGAAGGTCGATAAACACGTTTTCTGAGTGTTTTTTTATTATTCATAGGCGACTGGATGAAGACGTGTCCATATGTCAGATACAAGTCAACTACTAGAAGCAGACGTAATAACAGTCGCTTTGAGAATCACTCTAACAACGAACATCAATAAGAAGAAACAAAAAATAACAATTAGAAGACAAATCGCAACAACTAATTATCATTAGCATCAACAACTCAAAACTGTAAAGATGATAATAGATATGATAAGTTTTCTATTTATCGAAAACAAAAGAATATGTGTATTGTGTTATACGCTCGTTATTCATGATCAATGCTGTTTCAGTTAACGGCTTTTGAAAATATTAGTAATAATCAATCCATGTGGAACTTTAGAAGATCATCAAAATTAAAAACTTTAGAAGATCATCAAAATATTTTAATATGTGCAAAATCTATATTTATCATAACATAAAAAATAAATAAAATAAAAATTTCGCGTATAGAACATCTTAAAAACTTCCTTGTGCTTGAAATTCTGCATGCTTCTCGCCCACTGTTTCTTTTGTAAACTCATCGCTACATGCCATTCTTATTCGTTCACTTGTTGCAGGTGAATTTAATTTAAGAAATTCTTGTATGCCATTTTCTTGTCGATATGATTCACATGCTTGTTTAATAGCAAAGAAGACTGACGAGGAGAGAAATAGAGGAGGTTCACCAACAGCTTTTGAAGAGAAAATAGCCAATGGATTTGGAGCATTTTTAAATAGAGATACTCTAAAATCTATCGGTACATCATTGAATGACGGAATTTTATCTAAAAATGTTTAAAGATTTGCGTAAGAGATTCATCGGAGCTTAACTTGAGGAAAATTAATACTCACAAGTGCCTGGTCCTCGCGTGAATAAATAGCCCGGTTTTAACCATTTATGCTGCTCATCGCCCCAAATCAATTCCTCCATGGTCATCAAGCCTAATCCTTGAACAAAAGCACCTTCAATCTGGCCAATATCAATGTAAGGATTGATCGAATTACCTAACAAAAGGAGGAAATTCTTAGAAAAAGGTATGTGTAAACAAACGATACAATAGAAAATTAATAAGTATTTTAAAATAACGCTCACGACTAATTCTCTCAACGTTTCAGTTTGATATCAATATCATTTTTTACAAAGATCTGAGTATACGTGTGAAATTTAATATATAACAACTGCAAGTTTTGGTATAGACATACCTAAATCCATTAATATATCTGTTCTGATTACATGAGAATCTCCTGTTAGAGTATCAATTTCCACCTCTGAACAGCCACATCCCTGAGTAAAATAATTGAAATGTGCTCGATTGTTCAATATATCCCCGCCAACATTGGGTGTAGCATAGAAGCCTTGTGCTGACAAATTTATACGTTCATAATACGCTTTGCTAATCAGCTGAAACCATGTAAAATCTGGTGATTCACGACGGATTGGTTCCAAACGTTCATTCAGTTGTTGACAGGCAATTTTAATCGCCATTCCTGAAACACTACACTCATTGGAGAAATAAAGTTAACAAGGTCATCGATAGGACCCTCGAATAATCTGAAAATGCAGGGTCGAGATATAAATATTAAACATACCATTTAAATCCGACGCGGCTGAAGCAGCGGTGGGCGAGGTATTGGGTACTTTATCGGTGGATGTTTCACTAATGCGAACTAAACTGATGTCAACACCCAATAATTCTGAACAGATCTGAATCATTTTTGTATGTAGTCCTTGACCCATTTCAGTCCCTACAAAAGAAAAGAAAGCGCAAAATTGCTTATAACTTCATACTAGATGAATTTAGAAAGCAATATTTCGGAGAATAAGATTTAATTGGAAATCGAGTCTTCTTAATCTACGAAAAATTAAACTATATGTGTAATCAAGGATGACAGTTCTTTGTTATGTACGGTATTTCAGGGTTCTATGGTGTAGCGGTAGCACTCTGGACTTTGAATCCAGCAACCCCAGTTCAAATCTGGGTAGAACCTGTATTTTTTTTTATTTCTTCTGCAGGTATGAGGTATACGAGCCACTTGAGAACAGATGCGTGTTTTTTTGATTCGTATGTATGAGATAAAAGAAAAAAAAAAGATCAGGTTCTACCCAGATTTGAACTGGGGTTGCTGGATTCAAAGTCCAGAGTGCTACCGCTACACCATAGAACCACGATGTGATTTAATTTTCACGTGATACGTTTATCTTTCAAAATAAAGTTTAACTTACCTCCATGTGTTAACAGTATGCTGCCATCTTTATAAATGTGTATCAATGCACCAGCCTGATTCAAAAATTTTGCTGTAAAGGCGATACCAAATTTAGTTGGTATAATAGATATGCCTCGTTTTCTATAACGATGTTCGACATTGAACTGTCTTACTTGCTCTAATCGTTGCTCATACTCCGATGATACAATTAATTCATCCCACATTTCAGGTATATGCCAACTAGTCAAGTTTTGTTTAAAATGTGTCATGTCCCCTTCTCTATACATATTTTGGCGACGAATTAATGATGGCTCCAGTTTTAAATACTTCGCAATGTGATCTAAAACAGAAGTAAGATGGCATACGACATGGATAATATTGTAACTCAGTTCTTTGCATATCCTTACCTATCACTATTTCACACGTCATTAGCCCTTGCGGTCCTCCGAAACCTCTGAATGCGGTCATTGATGGTAAATTTGTTTTACACAATCGTCCATAAACTTTCATGTTCTTGAAGTTGTATGTATTATCACAATGAAATAGAGCGCGTTCCAACACTGGGAACGACAAATCATGTGACCATCCAGCATTAGCGTATAAATGAAGCTCCATAGCTTTTAACATCCCTTTTGAAGTAAAACCCACTTTATAGGCACCTTTGAATGCATGACGCTGTCCGGTAATAGCCATATCATAATCACGTTCAATATTCAACCGGATAGGTCGTTGAAGTTTAAATGCAGCTACAGCAACAGCAATACATGGCGGTATGGTACGTGTTTCTTTTCCTCCAAATCCACCGCCCATACGTTTAACATGACACACAACTTTATTACTTGGTATACCTAAACGATAATATAATAATACAAGGTGATATTTTGAGAAATTAAGAATGATACTAAACATACCGAGTGCTTGCGCTGTTAAATCTTGTGTTTTACTTGGATTTTGTGTAGATGACCATAATTGCATTTCTTCCTCTTCAAGAGGCACGGCTAAACAACAATTTGTTTCTAAATAAAAATGTTCTTGTCCTCCCATGTAGAACTGGCTTTCGATAATGTGGTCCGATTCTTGCATGCCTTGTTCCAAATTGCCCATTTCTAAATATCTCTCAGATCCTAGATACTTGTTATGTTCAATAGCTTGATCAATAGTAAATATTTGTGGGAATAAGTTCTCATATTTAATGGCAATTAATTTAGCTGCTTGTTGTGCATGCGATTCGGTATCAGCCACACAAATACCAATTATCTGGCCCACACATTCCACAATAGACGAAACAAATACTTCTTCATCATGAACTATATCACCTATAGGGTAAGAATATGAGATGAGAGACATATTTGGTGACACGAATTAAGTTCAGATGTTCAGTTCTTCAAATTTAATTTTGATTTTCATCTCACCTGTCTCGTTATTTCCAGGCACATCTTGATGACCGAAATATCCCACAAAACCTGGCACGTGTTCTGCTTGTGTTTTATCAATTTCAATAATTTTAGCATGTGCTTGAGTACTTAACACGAGGGCTGAATAAAGACAACCCGGTAACATGGGCATATCATCGGTGTATTTGGCTTCGCCTGTCACTTGCAAGTAGGCACTACGATGTAAGACGGATGAACCGACGACTTTGTTTGTATGTGGTTTCAACTGATGTTCTTGCTGACCATGTGATATTTTACGCTGATAGTGTTTTGTGGCTGAATAATGTGATGATGGAACTTGTTCTACAGTGGCTTCACTTTGTTCAGGATAATATTTGCGTAATTGTTTACATACATACAAGTAGAATTTAAACCAAAATGAAGTGACCAATGTACGACTAATATGAGAAAAAAGTCGCTTCGAAAAATGCGATAATGGTAAAAATTTCGATCGCTTACCGATATTCAGGTTGTCCTCCTGGTGTTAACTCAGTTAGAGGTAATTCCTCCAACAAATATTTGATTGCTTTCTTCATTGTTTCTTTCGACCATATTTGTCCCTTTAAAAATTGTTCAGTTTTTCTTGCCATAACTGTTATTGGTGCCATTCCACCGAGTGACAAATGTGCTTCCTCCACGCTCCATCTCATCTCCGGTTCATAACCATTCACTTGTACATTCACCTTACTTACTTTCACGCGAAATCCAGCACTCACTATGCCAATATCGTCGTCTCGCCGCCGCGCCTGTTTATAAGAATGAATATACTCATCTTTCGATGTAAATGGAATATGTATGGATACAAGAACTTCTTCAGGTTGAATGTCAACTTTACGATAACTTAGAAAAAAATCGCAAACAGATACAAAACGAGTTTCGTCTCGACCATGTTTCTGTAACTTCAACTGAGCACCACATGCTTGCAATACAGGATTTAAATCGGATATGGGAGATGCATTGACAATATTACCTCCTAAAAGTGAAAGTTGAGTATAAGTTACAAACTGGCTACTATCACACAGATTCCACGTATTTTTCAACCTCATATATTTGTTGATCTAAAACAACTGACGTCCGAGATATGAGATGATTTCTGTCTAAGAAAAGGACACGCCAAATATAAAGAAATGTATCTGTAGTGAGTGGTGGGTATGAAGTGCATGACCGCTTTTTGAGATAATCATGACACACATCTTAGTTACGTACCAAGACAAGCGACATTTCTAATTTGTTGAGATGCAAAATATTTGAGTTGATTTAATATAGCATGACATATTGCTCGCTGATATGGCTCAACTTGTTGCATCCATTGTTCTAAATGTTCTTTCAATCTGGTCAGAGTAACAGCAGCTCCAAGAATCATTCCATCGTCATCTCGATTAATCGCATTCAACTCGTCGATATGTGTTATACCAACCATAATTGGATAATGGAAATTTTTAAATTTTGTTTCGATTTGAATTTCTGAATTACCCAAAATTAATTTTGATGTAGGATATAAATGTTTTAATTTCAGTAGTTCAGTCAATGTAACGGGACGGTACCATTCCACTGATTCACCTAGAAAGCGATGAAAACAATTTCTCAAAATTTATGTTATGATACCTTTCAACAAGTAAATATTAACGTTTACGAATCATGCCTCTTATATGTAGATATTGTGGTTTGAAGTGGAAGAGTAACGGTGGAAATTCTAATGTTGGACATTTTTTATTTTGTTCATTTTGATACGGCTTGAGTTTATCATCTGTTGTACTTATTAAAATATCATTTGAACATCTTTCTTGTTGTCCTTCACATTCGCTCTTTTTCGTTGTATTACATGCAAAGGTTTTAGCTGCATCTAATATTGGTCGATATCCCGTACAACGACATAAATTTCCATCAAATGAATCTTCAATATCTTTTTCTGTGGGTGCTTCAATATTATTCAATGTACCATATAATGACATAACGATACCCGGTGTACAAAATCCACATTGTGAGCCATAAAATTCGGCAATTCGTTCTTGTATAGGATGTATACCTTGTTTTGTGTTTCCAATACCTTCAACAGTAATAATATGAAATCCATCCATTGAACATATAGGAGCGAGACAAGCATTGATGGCACGGTGAATAACTTTTGATAAACGGTGATCATAATCCGACACCATCACTGTACACGCCCCACAACCACCTTCGCCACATCCCAATTTGGAACCCGTTAAACCACGCTCTAAATTAGAACAAGAATAAATCTTAAATTTTTATGAACAAAATACCGTTCATATTGATCCAGTTACTTTTTAAAATTCAATCTTAAGTAATCATTCATCTTCTAAACTTACTATTTCTTAAATACCAAAGTAACGTCCACTCTGGTTCTGCATTGTGTTCAATAACTTTTTCGCCATTGATAAAAAATGTTAAATAATTACAAACTTCCTCTAACGACATGTCGTACGTTTAAAATAAAATCGAAAAATTTAAAACAAAACAGATTTGTTATTTTTAATGCGAAAATAAAAATTATATGATAACGGAAACAGAATAAAAAAATATAGTAAAAAAAGAATTCTTCTGATGTCATTATAACCTCTTTTTTTTTGTCTTTATCTACCTAAAGTAGATATGATGACACGTGCTTTTTTACTAAGAGATAAATTAGTTAGAATTCATATTTCGCAGTGCGAAAAGAATTTTGTTCTAGTGTGTATCACAATTAACGGCATTTTAGTAGAGGGTTGAAGGAAAAGAAATGATGTAAGTCAGATGCATCGATTAAATGTTCAAGAAAGAGTTTTAATAAAACAGTGATGATCATTTTATTTAGTGGTTGAATTACAGATAGAAATATCAGCAGACCTAAAACTGGGCGATGTAAAATTTTTGTCGGTGTCGAAAGGCCGTCTAGCATTTCTATTATAAAAATTACTCACTTTCTTTTATTCCTTCTGCTATATATATATATATTCTTTATAATGTATAGTACTAAAAACTAAGATAAGATAGCTGTTATCGTCATGTAAGTAGATTGACTTGTTCCCTTGTTCAGCGGATAACTATTACGTATCCGTGCAGTAATATATGTTTACTCTATTGTTTGATATCAACTTAAATATTTATAAACGTTTTATTTTCAAGATAGAAGAATCTATATTTAAAGGGCTTTAACTACAACAAAAATAGTCGCTAAATCGTTAAACGTTCAAGTTCTAAACAAATTACGTTGATGCAGAAAGTTCTCATTGAATTATGCTTTTAATTGTGCCTTGAAGTTTTCTACCGCTAACATCAATAAGACACCATATAAAAAGGCATTAATCGTTAGATCACAAATCATAAATGAATAAAAAGACTACTTATTGACTAATTAAGCTAGTCAAGGCGTAGATGAATGAATTTCTACGAGTTTCTCAAACAAATAGAAATGCATCTGTGTCAAATATGTCCTCAATGCCTCTTGTAACAATAAAAAGGATAAAAGAAAAATTGCGTAAGTGAAAAAAAAAGAGTCTTCTGGATGAAAGTATACAATCAATATGCGCAAAGCTTTCCAAACATTGTGTCAGCGAATTATGAAGTTAAATGTGTATTATCTGATGGATAATCCAGAATTTTTAAAAAACATAACAGAATTAGGGTTAAAAAGTGAATGGTTGCCTATTTATACTCAAATTTGGAGTAAATAATGAACGGCCAGAATTATAAAACAAAAATATCGAAGAGAGAACGGGTTAGAATCTCGAGTTCAATAGACTGAAAACAAAACGATCTTATCAATTAATATTTTGCTGTTCGCTAAGCGGTTAGAATAACGAGTCGGCTGAAAGTTTTGAGACAGAATGTTTGACTGTCTTTCTTCAATCTAAATATGTTGGAAAGGAATGTTTATTAGTGTGGTAGAATGAGAATTTCTACGGTTTTGCGAATCTATGTTCGAATATTTTTTGCTGCTTTTCTAAGGGTGGAATACGCCTAATACTGAAAGGCTAGATTAATTTCTCCTCAAAAGAACGAGATTTCTATGACGGCAAATCACCACCAATGCAATATAATAGTTTGAAACCCGTAAGGGTACCGAATAGCAAACACTTAAGAGCAAAACTTTTGTGTTCTTCGAGAAGCTGAAGACCAATATTTAAACTAAGTTTATTAAACGACAAATCGAGCTATGCTCATTACATGATGTGACAATGTGATCAAAAGAGAAATACAGTTAAA